TCGGAATGGGTCTATTAGAGGAATAGCTAGATGGACTGTCTCTAGATGAAGTTGGTGGTAAGATCTTTGAAGCTGTTCTAGGTGGGGGTGGAGGAAGGAGAGATACAAAGCTGTTTTGTTTCTGTGTTGAAACATCCACGGCAGAATCCATCAAGAGGTCCATAAGCCTCCACTGTTGATGAAATAGAGAGTTAACCGAGCTGGAAGTAGATGGAGAGCCAATATCCCTGTTACCCCTGACCATTCTTCGTTTTGCTTGGTTATAATCCCTCCTCCTAAATTGTTTGCTTTCATCTTTTGGCTTGAAGCTTGAGAGGACTCTTGACACAACCGCCTGATCCTGATCCTCACGATTGTCCGCTTCTTTATTTGTCAACGAATCTAAGCTTGGCACTGTTCAAATATGCACAATAATCATGCACTAACATATAAATATTAATATATGCTAATATAATCTAAAAAAATGAGGAATGGGAGTTTACTTCTTTTCAAGGCAGACCAGGCTGCAATTGCAGCATTCTTCTCGGCTTGCTTTTTTGTTTTGGCTGGCTCACCCATGAAATTCATACCGGCGAGCTCCACCGTGCAAGTGAAGATTGGGACATGACCAGGACCTGATCTGACCGTGGTGTATACAGGGAGGTTAAGCCCAGCTCTATGAGCAGTTTCCTGAAGGAGGTTCTTGTAAATTCCAGTCTCATCCTTCATGCATTACAAAAGCAAAGGAAACAAGATGAGACAAATCTAGCAAAAGGATAACAGGGTGTGCTTTAAACTCGTCTACCATCAAGAAAACTATATACCGAACAAAAGCTAATTCATATGAAAGAGTTGTTAATATCTAAAGGAACTTACAAGAACTCTTGCAGTGAGAGACCTTGAAGGACCCCTTGCAGACAGGATATTGAGAGCTACCTCTGCAGCAGCATGCTCAGCCTGTCTCAATGTAGGGCAGTAGCTTGGGCTTTCAAAGATCTCACCATTGAAGTTCACAGACGCTTTGAATCTTGGGGCATGATCGGGTCCTTCTCTGATGCAGGCATAGGAAGGGAGGTTAAAACAGCTTCTTTGTGCAAGTTCCTGCAGTTGGTTCTTGAACATATCTGCCACGAAAATCCGATATAAATTAAACAATTAAATAGAGATGAAACTTCCACCTAGAAAGCTAGAAGGAGGCTCAAGGCCACAGAGAAACCGACCTGATGAAAAGAAAAAAAATGAAGCTAAATGAACTCCAACTACGGAAGAAACTATAGAGAGTCAGGGAACTCACCTACTTCACCTGATTTATCCCTCCAACATTGGTATGGGAGTTTTATCTCTCAGGGAAAAAGTATCTGATAGTAATATAATCTGCAAGGAAGAAATACAAAGGTGACCGAGATAAGTAAAAATGGAAGACTCAACTTGGGCTTGAAAGCCTTGGTCTTGAGTTTTAATTACCACTAGTCTACTACTATACTTCCTAGCCGTTTTTTTAAAAAAAAATAAAATTTACCCAACAGTAAAATAGTATTGCATGACAGTTTTTAACTCAGAACTTTCCCAACAAGCACAGTTTTCTAGCAATGAGGAATCCAAAAACCAGTCGATAATAATAGTATTAGCATGCAGCCCTGACATTTTAGCCTCGTATAGGTAAAACCAAATTACAGAACTCTCCCTGGTTTCCATCTGATTGTAACATAACATTGTAAGTCTTGAGATGAGATTTATCACAAGATAACACTACCTTGATGCTGGTCCAGCCTTTTGTGGACTGCACAGTTACCTCTTTAAATTTCACTCCTAGATATTTTACTAACTGTTACCTTGTCTGGTGCATCACCTTAGCCATTTGCAGTGGAACTGGCTCCCTTTCTCTTTTTACTTGTGTAGAAAACCAAATGCCCTTACAAATTGAATTCTGAAATTATTTATGCAAAAGGGCAAATGGATAAAACCAATAAACCAAAATTAAAAGCTGATCTCAGATGCATTAATTGGCAGCTAAACTGAGTCTAAAGCAGTATAGCCAGGTCCACATTAATTCAGATTCTTGTTACCATAATGTCACTGACGAGGGTGGTGTTTGTGATTTTCCATAGGAAACTTGAAAGAGATTCTGTGATTGGCAGTGGAGCGGAACTGTGTTCTGTCATCCAAGCTTTACACCATGTTTGGTAGGAGAGAAAGAGACCGGAAGAAAAGGGGGTCTCTCTCTCTCTCTCTTTTCTCTTTTAAAATTAATCTTTTCCAATGTGTATACAAAAAGGGAAAAACACACACATTAAGGTTTCATAGATGAGGGACAGATATGAAGCTAGCTGTTTATGAACCGCATCTGGACTTGACTATTCTTCACGCCCTGTGACAACAGGAGAGTGAAACTAAATGCCTTTAATTCTGATGTCGGGTGTTATACATGACCTGCAATCTTAGAATTCAAACTTGGGATAGCTCACATTACCAACATCAACTCACATGTTTCTAACTATACACTATTTAGTTACACAAGACAAGTCCAACGGAGTTAGTACGGCAAGTTTGAATTCATTCAGCATTATTCACTTATGATTATAATATCTTATATCATACGTGAATGTAATCGTTACATTAATTATGGTTCTGGTTCTGGTTGAGGATTTAAAGAAGCCCAACTGAGAGCTTGACAGACCAGTCCGCTTGCTGACCCAAGTTACTTAACATGGTGACAGCCCATCTCCCAATTGGTAACACAGCAAAGTTCAGAGAGTTGAACTCAGCACTGTAAGATACTAAAATGAATCCACAAAGGTCAATACAATTAGAAACTAACTAATTCCACAAATACAAAATCAAAACTGGAAAAAGCTCACTCTCATACATGAAACCAGTTCTTTTTCATCAAAGCACAAGGGCCAAGCCAACACTTTCAAACACCCTGCCAAAAACAAATATTCCCATAATGCACATGACTCAAGGAGGAAGTCGATGAACCTTAGCATGAAACCCCAAGAACCCAATCATACCCGCCACATTAAACCCTTTCCCATTTTCTACAGTCAATACCACAGCATAAGTTATGTCTGACGGTTCTCAGTTGTCAAGCCGCTGCTGCTGGTACTTCCAACGGCACGATTTGGTTCTCCCACTCTAGCCGCCAAAGCAAGAACTTCAGGCGACATTTCCCAACTTCCACTTTTTCTACCCCAACTAGATCGCCTTGGATGTATACCAGAACGGTCACCCGTGTCATCTACTGTTGTTCTAATATCTGGAGACAGTTCTCCTAATTCACCCTCCTTAACATTTACACGGTCACTTGTGAGTTGCCCTTCACAATGATCAGTGCCAGCCCCCATATCGCCCCATACTGTCTTCCTACCCATTTCTATGTCATCCACGGCCTTCCCCATATTAGGACTCATAAAACCACCAGGTCGTGTTGGTAACGCAGGTTCCCTCATAACCTTTTCCCTAAAGTTGTTCTTGGATAAGGGAATGCTGGAGCAAAATATCTCCTTAAAGTTCTCAACCACTCCTTTGTTATAGGGGTTTGCTCGGCGATCATATCGGTATCTGAAATTCTCATATGTTGTCTGCAGAAACAAGACACACAGATAGTTACACCATATAACAATTAAACTAATGCAACAGCACATGGATGGACTACGTTTTGCAACATGATTAGATAAGATGAGTATCTTACCTGATTTGTGCTGATCAGATACAAATGGAAGGCGGTCAAACCACCAACAAACCACATTGAGATGAAAGTGTAAACTATTAAAACAATGGAAGCCGGTGTTTTAATCATGGCTCTCCAAATTGTTGTCTCCTCTGAAGCCATGATCCTTCTAATGTAGACCCAACAGAATGCAAAAACATATATACAGAGAAGGGTTGTTGAGAAGACAAACACAAAGAAGAACCGATAATTTCGCTGCACGCAACAATAAAATAACCATGAGTTTAGTACACAGTATGAGAAAGCGGAAATCAGAAAAACGTCAAATGCACCACAAGTATAATCGATATTAATCTGAAACTTTCACAAACATAAAGATGTATGTGCTAATTTAGGCTCTTAAATGGTTTAGGCTTTGTCGCATGCTGATTTCTGTCACCCAATGACTGAACTCAAAATAACTAGAATAAGTAAGTTTCAGTAGGAGGAGGACTCCTCTCCTCAAGGAGTTTCTCCAAGGTAAATACAAGCATGTGTAACATGTCACTTTGAGCTTTGGCCATACAATTATGACCTCCACTAGATGGATAAGAATGGATAGGAATATATGCAAAAAACATGTCATCATCCTGTTCAACAACAGTTGTTGCATCCCACCCACAACTAGTTATTCTGAAATCCAATTACACTACTTAACATAATAAAGCATAAAGGAAATGGAAACAGAGACACAAAATGGACGCTTCTTGTTTTGATCTTTTCTATTTCCTTTTGAAGGAGAAAGGATCCTTCTTTGGATGTTCAAGAATAGGACATAATTCTAAAAAATGATGACATACCAGTCCAATACACTGCCCAACCCAAGGGCAGTGGTGATCAAATCGTTCGACACAGTTATTGCAGATTGAACAATGTGAGCAACGAGGAGGTCTATAAAGCATGCAAGTGTCACAATACTTGATCTTCACAGAAACTCCATTGACCTCCACTTCTTTCATGCGTGGCAATCGTAACTGTGGAGTTTGGCCAGCCCCAACATCTGCATTCCCGTCAAAACCTTCTGGCTCTGGAGGGTGTGCATTGCGTGGAATTATACCAGGATCTCTTCCAGATGTTAGCAGTAGAAGAACTAAATCCTAAAGGAAGAAACAAACACATTTATAAGCTTCAAGATCTGTTTCAGGGAAATCACATAGAATTCTCCAAAACTCTAACAAATGCGTGAGAAAGTTTGCAAAAGCCTAGAGGAATTTTTTGTTTTGGACATTTAAGACACCATTTGGATCTTTCAAAACAAGGTAGCCACGTCCATGGTGCCATCCCGAAAATCAGCCTAACTGACACTCCAGGCAATTGTGATGTGGTTTGCATCAATAATTGAGGCAGTCAAACATCATCCAGAACTCGTTGCTTGGGTTGAAAGTGCATGGTTTATAAACCAAGAAACCAGATGAGCATTTAGGACCCCTTATCGACAAGCCAATAGCACAAGCTGAGATTGCAAATTCTAATTTACTTTATGAGGTAGAATTCCGCCATATTCTTTGCACAGGAACGGCCATATATGGTATGATCATAAAAACTACAAATTTAAGTCAATATATCTAACTAATGACAAAAGGGGACCTAACCAATCATCTGGCACAATGGTAAAAGTTATGAATTAAAACTAAAAACCTTTAAAGGAAAGATAATTTCCAGTTCACCCCACCTCAGTAACAAAAAATATTTCCAAAGACATGGAACATAACAACACATTCAAACATGAAGTTGCAAAGAAACTTACATAGACAGTGAAGGCAACCGCAACAACCATGATTGAAATACCCAAGTGATGAGAAAAATCATCCATCAATTTCCTGGCAACAAATACACAGAAAATGGACACTGGCGCTACAATTAGTAAAATAGTCAGCCCTAATGATCTTACATCCGGTCCAAATATAAACCTCCCTTGAAATAAAAATATCTGCAAAACAGAACACAAACAAACAAAAACTTTATGTCTTGAAAAATCCCATGGATAAAAATGTTGTCTTTTTCTAATTACTACTAGTAACAAAAATTATTAATATAAATATAAAGAAAAAGAGAGAAAAGCAATGAAGGGTTTTGAAGTCTACAAAGGGAAATAAGATCCAAAACCCAAAAATATTTAAAAGGATAGGATAAAACTAGTAAAAATAAAAAGGAAAAATGCTTACATTGCTGCCTTTCCAAGTTTGGTAAACCCGTAAATCACCCGAACCGCCGCCGGTAGAACCCGGATCCGATCGTTGAGGTGGCGGCACCACATACATCTCTGCCTTTTACTCTCTGACTCTCAGAAAAAGTAAAAAATAAAATTGCTGTAAAAAAAACTTGAGCTTTTGACAAAAGAGGAAAGAGCTTCAAGTAGTGAAATGGAAAGCCAAGGGTGGACTGAGTCGGGGCGGGCGAGTTAATAGAGTTCCCGCGAGTCTGGGACGAGTCGGCGACTAGGCATGAGCTTTTGGTTTTTTTTAAAAGATAGTGGAGGGGACGTTGGGTTTTTTTGTGGATTTTCTTTCTTTTCTTTTTCGAGTGCTTTGGATTAACAGAGATTCTTGATTGATTGCTCTGTATCTGAGCTTTACAGTATGGAATGTGATGACGTGGCCAAGTTTCATTGGGCAATGACCCAGTTGGACCGGTAGTGGTGGGTGAACCAATAGTACCAGTCTGGGTGCTGTGAGGCTCGGCCGGCCCCGGTTCGCTATGCAAATTTACTTTATTGACCTTTATTAGCACTTAATGGTAATTAAATTTTGAGCAACATTTCCTAACCAATTTTTTAAAATAATAATTCTACCAATTTATTTATGAATATATATGTTAGTGCGATATTGGGAAAATTTTTATTTCTTACAAAATTAATCTTTGGAATTAATCATAAAAACCAAAAAAATAAATAAATTATTTTTAAACACATTTACGAGATTGATAAATAAATTATTCATGTTTTATTTTAATTTTCAACACATATCTCATCGACGTGCTTTAATCTCTATTCTAAAGAAGAGGTCTTAATCTATTTTTAGAGGTTTAAATCAATTTTATAGTATTTTTATTTAATCTATTTATTTAACAATTTTGTTAGTGGATATACTGTATGATATATAGTAAAAATTATTTGATTATAATTGCAATTTGTACTTATCAATGTTGTTTTTTAAGGAAAAATTAATTTCATAGTCAACTATACAAGTAATTTTGGAAATTACTCTTATTTCTCCATCCCATGTTTTCCCAATTTTATTTTTGTTCAATATGGTTGATGGATCTTTATGATGATCTAACTAGCTAGTATTTCAAACTTACATAAGGCCATTTAATATTTAACTCAAATCAAAAGTAAATCTCGTAAATTTATATAGAAGCAAACAAATTAATTGGATTAATATTTTATTTCTTAATTTTAGATAATATCTAATTAATTTAATTATAAAAAAAAATAAATAAATTAACCGAATCGATGATTTACATACCCATGCACTGTATATTTTACTATAAATTATTTAGATGGAAGAACTCAACCGTGAAAGTGAAAATAGATTGGTTTCCAAGTACAAGTATTAGTGGATCAATAATTCAATATTTAATAAATTCATGCAACAACCATGATTGCGCCCTCCCCGTGGAATTCACACCCATGATGCAAAGCGCCTCAACGTTGGAATTTGCAAAAGTCAAGTGGGCCTTTTAACTGCAAATTTCTCATAATTAATTTATAAATTATAATTTTTTAAATAAAAATTATATATTAATTAATAAATTAAATATTTAAAGATAAATTATATCTTAATCATGTTTTATAAAACTAATTAAATTTGTAAAATGAATGAACCAATTGGTTTAATCGAACCGACCACGATATCAAAAAGGCATGAGAACAAAAAAAAAAACCATTCATGATGGAAATGAAAGATTTTGGGGGAATTTGGTAAATAATAAAATATTATTTGGATATAATTGAAAGAAAAAAAAAATTGAAAAGAGAAGGCATTCTTGTTGAATAAAGATCTTCATGCAGGATCACGTGGACCATTCACTTGCTTGTTCCCTAATTTAAAGAGCACAATTCTTGGGTCTAGAGTACAAGCAAATGCATTTCCAATTTGCAAATCAAATCAATTTCTTGAAAATTTTAATATTATCAAACTTACTTGAGATTTTAGAATTTATAATTTAAAGGAAGTAATAAATGAGATTGGACAAGAGATGGTGAGAGCTAACTTATCTCTATGAATAGGATTATACGAATTAGTAATTTCATTCAAATTAAAAAAGGTTTAAATTTTGTTTTGAAAATTGAGTTTTTAAAATTTTTATTTTAGATCAAAATAACTCTTAATTTTAATGAAAAATTAATCATCATACTTAATCTCAGTTGACCTTTTTGATTCACTTTACATATGATATGACTAGTAAACACACCCACATAGTAGAATCAAAGCTCAATATAACCAATCATACGTCATATAAATAAAAAAAATAATTACTATTGAATTTGTCTGATTTAAAATAAAAATTAAAAAAATTCATTTGAAATATTGAATAAATGAATATAATACAAAAATTTTTATTATAGTTTATGCCAACATCAGAAAGAAAAAACAAGTTGATTAAAATATATTGAAAAAAGTAAATATTCAAAAGTTGATAATTTGACTATCAAAAACTTATGTCTCAAGTATAATAAAACTACTCAATTTGACTTGAACTTGGTTTGTCCGATAATTTCGTCTACAATAAGAAAAAGAAGCTGAAAATGAAACAAAAAATTCTTGAAGGATATGGTTCCATGGTGTAGTGGTTAGCACTCTGGACTTTGAATCCAGCGACCTGGGTTCGACTCCCGGTGGGACCTTATGTTCTCTACAATCATTTTTCCCTTTACTCTTTACTTTCCAAAATCAAAATTTTTTTTCTGTTGTCAAGAATCGGACAGGGTGAAAGCCAGACAAGTCTGGACTGTAAACCCAGCGAATTAGGTCTGACTCCCAGTGGGACCCATTTTTATACTTTCCAAAATCGAAAGTAAAAGCTATTTTCCGTTGCCGGGAATCGAACCCGGGTCTCCTGGGTGAAAGCCAGATATCCTAACCGCTGGACGACAACGGATTGTTGAGAATGCGTTCTTAATATATTGTTTTAAACCTAAATAAAGAATGTTGGTTTTTCAACATTCAATAGTTATAATTTTAGTTTAATCTTTTTAAACAATTTAAACTATTCAATAAAATTTAAATAAGTTTTTACTTTTTAATTACATTCAAATCAAATTTATTTATTTTTATTTTTAACCAAATAAACTCTTAAGATTAATAGTTCACTAATTGTTATTATTCAAAGATCATTTATTATTTTTATGTCACATGGTAATGATATGATATATTGACATTCATTGTGGATGATAATATAGTATGATCACATAACCTTATAGGTTTTTTACCCTCCATATCAACATCATGTTTGTGAACATAAAATGATAAATGACATTTTGACTAGTGATAATTAGTCAACCCTTAATTATAACGGTTTATTTAACTCACAATAAAAATTCAAAAATTTAATTAAATGCAATAAAAAATAAAAACTTATTTAAATTTTTTTAAATAATTTATAAATTTAAAAAATAGTTTATTTAGACTATGTCTAAAGTGAAGATTTATTTCCAGCTTTCTTTGAAATTGTATTGTTTTTACTAACCAAAACTAAGAACAAGCTCATCAGCAGCATTTTATGAATACAACATGAATGAAACAACGTTACTCATTAGATTAAATTGGAAATTCATGGCAAAATTCTTTATCCACATCCCATTTTTAGTACAATTCAATATAAGGATTGAAAAAATACTTCTAAAGAAGACCTTGAGCATGAACTGATTATACCTTATTGACGTTAAGGTTGAGCAAAAATAATCAAATAGAAGAATTTGATTGATTTCGATTAATTCGGTTTCGGTCTTATATTAGTTATGTATATTGATTTTTTTAATTTGTTTGATTGATTTTTAATTTGAAAATTTATAAAAAAAAAGATCATACATATCGATCTCAATTTTTTAAAACATTATATATATAAGATTACACATAAATATATAAGTTTTAATATTTAAAATTGATTATTACCAAATTAACCAACCGATATAATTTTATAATAATTAGATAAATTCAATTTTTAAAAATTTCAAATCAATACTCACCCAAAACCAAATATGTATGTATATTTTTAAAATATTTTTTGTATTTACGAAAATCATCATTGACCCAAAATTATATTTACAATAAAATTTTACTCCGGGGTATCAAGACATAAATTAATAAATTGAATATTATAATGAAATTGATTTGTATTTATCTGAAAAAGAAAAACATTGAAATTATTATTTCTTTAAAGTTTTTGTTAATAAAATAAATTATTAACCTACTCTTTTTTTTTTAGAAGGAATGGGCGAGACATTTTTACTAACTAGAATACACTTATTCCATATTTGAATGGTCCTTAATAAAATCATTGATATATCGTTATTTTTAAATAGAGGATTTTAAAGAGTATTTTTTTATTAATACATTATGACAAAATTGATCGAATCCTATAAGTTCATAATAACAATGATTAGCAACAGTTCTAGTATGAATATACTAGCGAAAACCTCCATAACATAATACAATGCCATCTTAGTTTTGTAATTTTTTGTTTTGATCGAATCAACATCACAAGCCATGACCGCTCCGTTTGTCATAATCATCAAAATACCGAAACGATATAAACGTTAAAATTTGCCATTACACTTAAAGAATACTAATTTCTTTTGTTTTGGTCGTCATGAGAATACTTTTGCATGGCAAGAAGAATTGATTTGTCAAGAAAATATTCATTTTATAAGGTAAAGGGAAAGAAGACATTATAAAAATTTTAAAGACTTTTACAAACAACTATAATGAATTAAATTATAGGCTAAATACTTAAATATGCCCTTGGGTTATATTAAAAAAGTCAATTTAGCCCATGTTTTTTTGTTGCATTCAAATAAGCCATTGAATTGGGTCAAATAAACTCTTCTTACTAACTATTGATTAACTTCTGTTAGTAAATGATACAATCAATAATTTTTAATACTACATTATCTGCCATGTAGTATGTTGGTATTCATCTTGATGACGTTAATGTCATGTGCAAGATTGTGTGGTGTCAAAAATTACTAATTCATAATTGAGTTTTTTCCTTTCTAAATGTCCAAAAATTATTGATTAGGGATTTGAAATAAAAAATTAAAAAAAATAATTGTTTCAAACTGATTATCATCGTTTATTAACTGATTACCATCTTTTTAATCAAAGTGACATTTCCAAACAAAAAAAAAACTTAGAGCCCATTTAGTTAAGCTATTTTTTAGCTTAAAGTTTATTATAAAGCTTTTATGAAAAATAATAACTTTTAAAATTAAGTTAAATCTATTTAGTAAATTTACTTTTATAAAGTTTTTTTTTATAAATAAGTTGTTTGACAAAATAATTTATATAAGTTCTAATGATTTA